CTGTAAAACTTTAATAAGAATTATAATAATCAAAATAATATTTAAAGTTGTTAAATTTAAAAAACTTTTTAAATAATATGTAAAGTCTGTTCTTTTTTACTAAATAGGTTATTTAAAAAAAATATATGCTTTAACTTGTTTTATGAAAAACTTGGACTTGATTTTAGACTTAATATGAACATAATTATAAATTTAAAATTTACTTAAGTTATTTTCGTCCTTAAAAAAGTGCATAAAAAATAATTATATAGGTGGGTAATATTTATGTTAAAAAACCCCCTGTACACTAAAATTGATGTTATAGTTGTCGTTATTATCATTGTTTTTATTGATAAGTTTCATAAATTTAAAATTAATATGATACTTGATAGTTTATAAATAAGGTAAAATAATTAATAATAATTCTAATTATAATTCATCTTTATTAGGAAATGAAATAGATAAAAAGAAAAGAAAAGAAAAGAAACCGATGGTGTTATTATCTGTTTTGTTTCAATCCAAAAATTTGGTGATACGTGACATGATAAGTTCATAGGCCCCAGGTTCATTGTAAGTAACACTTGAGGAGTTCCTTTCGAACAGTAATGAGATGAAATGTGGCCATAACATGATCATCATACACAAATTTTCAGATACCTTAATGGTGCAATCAAAGTTTAGTCCACATATTCATGTGGGGCCCTACTTTGGTTCTTTAATGCCCACGTGGGTTCAGCATGGGCCCCACTTCTTGACTCCGAAGTCATCCTCGGGCCCTATCAACCGAAGGTTGCTTAGAATGGTGGAAGAACATTGCAGGAAACTAAACGTGGCTGAAGGATAAAAAGTCTTTGAACCGTTCTGGTTGTGGAGTCCAGTTATGTAATCACCTCTTTTTGTACTCAACGTGCATATTGGAATACGTTCCTCATACGTATCTATATCTGGGGTGAGCCATATACAATAAATTTAGTGTCAAGAAACACATGCCAAATACATATAAATATAAACAAGACATTCATCAATTACATGCCTAAACTAACTCTTAACCTCATCTAAGTCTGCTTACCATCTTCCTATTCATTTAAAGTTACATTAAAATACTTTTTTCGTTCAATTCTAAAAATATTGATTAACAAGACTCATATTATGAACACGTAAGATCACGACTGACAATCAAAATCGTGGGATTTATTCCATTAATTAAACCTTATATAAAAAATATTATTTAACAAGGTAAATTCTTTGTTATTCTTAAAATTTTTTAGAGAATTATAAAAAAAAATTTTAACCAATAATATTTAAATACGTATTTTAATAATAAATTATTATATTTATTATATTTAAACAAACGAAAAAGCAGTTAAATTTTTAATAATATGTAATTAAAACTAAACGAATTACAATTTAAAAAAAATAATATTATTATATTAATATATTTTTATATTTTTAATTTTATTATTATTAATATTCAATTATTTAATTATTATATTAATATATTATGTTATAATTTTTTTATTTATAATAAATAAAAATTTCATAAATATAAATTATATTATATTCAAAGCTTAAAATTTATAAAAAATATAAAAAAATAAAATAAAATAAGAAATTCAATACAATATATATACATTACAAATATATATAAATAATATAAATAATAATTTTAAATAAATTATATATAATAATATATTTTTTATAATTTATCACATGTTTCTTTTTTATTAGTATAAATCTTTTAAATACGGTACTCAAAAAAAATTTTAAGATACCATAATACACGTTATTTAACGAAGTCATTGTCCCTTGCATCTTTTAGGAAGATGCATATTGTTTTTATACTTGAGATCCTTTAATGAGATTTAGATTTAAACTTGCTGTGGGACATAAATTCAATCCTTATCAATTAAACAAATTTTCGTTGGTTATTAATACTTAAAACCTAATATGATTACCTCAATGTCCAATCACAATTTAACACATTTGAAATTAAATATGTATATCTATAATCAGGACATTATAAATATAAGCTTGCATCCATTGCTTCTAGGTCCCTTCAATTGACCAGCCATTTGGTTTAAGCTAATTTCAATGTTTTTACTAAAAGAATACTTAAGGGGTGTTAGAAAGAGTTAACGAAAATCAATAGTCGAATTCAATCAGGTTCAAGGTTGAAAAATAACTTAAATAAAAACAAACTGATAAAAGTAATAAGAAAACCGTTTGACTAAATAGCTCTTTGGGTCAGACAAGTTACCAATTGAGCAATTTATGAGTATCTTGAGTGGGTTCAAGCAAGTTGAAGGCTTTTTCGTCATAAAAAATTTGTGGTGGGTAACCTTTTCTCATTGGGTTTCGCCATTGCCTATCAAAAGTGATCACCATGCCACTATCACACCACACAAAACTGCCATTAAAACCACCATTATTAGTTTTTCTCGACACTATCACAACACAGCTCCCATTGAAATTTCAGAGTCTCATTACCACCAATCACCGCCCATTATCTGATTGTCCGTTACTATAAACCAGAGTCGCCACCTCCTGTGACCGCTACCATCCCTTCACCACAGTGTCACTAGGTGAAAGAAGAAGGAGACGAATGGTTGAAAGAAATGAGAGATTAAGAGAGAAAAGTTTGAGAGAGAGAGAGAGAGAGAGTGAAAAACTAAGAGGGTGAGAGATTGATAGAAAGAAGATCGAGAGAGAAGTGAGAGTGTGGAAATTTTTCATATTGTAAGTGAGAAGTAGAAGCTTTAAGTGCTATATGCGTTTAGTCTTGTGTTTGCTGCAGATATACTTCACTCGTCTTTTCATTGTTTTATAATTTTGAATTTCAACGTGAATTTCTAAGGCTTCTTAAAGACCTCTACACGAATGTGAGCATCCCATTTCAGTCGAGTTTGAGTTCAGACAAAAGATAAAACTTGGATTTGCACCACACTTGCTTGATTGCACCCATTTATAATTGAAAAACAATAAACTTTCACTAAACTTTTATAAGTTTTTTAACTTTATTTTAATAAATTTTAATATACTTTATTAAAATAACTTATTTTCAAATTCTTTTAATAAATTTTATGTTTAAAGTTACACTATAAACTAATCTTTATATAATGAAAATTCATTGAATAATTATTTATCCAAACATATCCTTGGCTGTCATGTTTAATAGGATGAAATTAAATTTTTTCAACACATACGTTATAAAAATATTAGTTAAAAATAGTAATTATTTATAATTTTAAAATTATTTAAATAAAGAAATAAATACTATAATTTATTTTTATATTAAATATATTATTATTTTCCTACCAATAGATCATTGGTTCAGGTAGGTTTTTACGTCCGAATCTTGTGTAAGAAAAGTTTCATTTAGGAGAAAGAGGTTCTAATAAAAAAGAATTTAAAATGTTTCAGTAAAATTTAAAAAAATCCAATATTGAAAATTTTTAATTCAAATAAAATTATCTCACATGGAGTATCATATTAAGATCATGTATAGAAAAAATCATTTTAAAAGATTTTTAATGGTTATTTAAGATAGCAAGCATCTCAATATTATGAAAAAGAGCTAGAGAAAGAAAAAAGTACAGGATCATACATGTAATTATAGATATATTTTTGTTATTTATGCATTAAATAATTAATATCATGTTTTATATTTTATATAATTGCCTTTTTACTTTATTTTTATTTTAATACTCACGTTTCAAAATGAAAAAAAGTCTCATATACAAAAAAAAAAACTTTTTCGTTATTGTAAACTTAATGAGTTGTATCACAAATTAATAATTAACACACCCTCTCATGCTTTATAAAAGCATCTTTTAGAAGACTTTAATGGTCCTTATTATAAGACATTTTATAATTTTTTAAAAAAGTTTATTATTTTTTCTCATTTAATTTTAATAAATAAAATTGATGAGAGTTCAAATTAAAATAAAAAATAAATATTAAATGTGAGATTAAATTTAATAATATTAAATAAAAGTAGCATTATCATGTGATAATATTTAGAAAAATAAAAATAATTAACTAAGTATAAAAATTTGTTAAATATAAATTAAAAAATACGAATTGACTAAAAGAAAATGAGAGAAGTAATTGAATAGAAATATAAAGAGAGAAAGAGAGGGAGGGAAATACGTATAAAAGTAGCAAGTGTGTACGTATATGGAGGGCCTTTTCAATTGCGGCTGGAAATGGTACAGTCGTCCCAATGGAGGAAGCTGAAGTAAGGTAATTTATTATTTCGGCTACTTTTAATGCATTTCCTTTGAAAAAAGAGGTACTATGATTTATTTGGAATAAAACGCGTGGCAACTTCTAAACACCTTGCTATTCGGGACCACATTGATGGCTTCTCCTATAGGCACGCGGCCTACAAAGATTCCCCGCCGCCATGACCATCTTCTCTCTCAACTGTTCCTTCAACCTTCATGTTTTGCAATTTGGAACTCACTCTGCACGTGCAATGCATGAATTTACCAAATCACCCATGAGGGCATCTTAGCTTGTATGGATTGGACTGAAAGTTGGTAATTTTGGATCATAGTGGAACTTTGTTCGTACGAAATCCAACAAAGCGTGAGTAAAAATTGGGGTAGGGTCCTTGGAATCGTACTTAGGTGGCAAATTAAGCTTTATGATCATTAACGATGATAATAATGGAGGCTTATGCTTGAACTTTTGAAAGTTTTGTCCCTAAGAGCCAACTTGAACATTGGAGCTAGCCTACCAATAATACAAGACCACGTCTAAAAAATTACAATTGCTTTCCACCTCTTTTTTAACGATCTAGAAACACTTTGCGGGGTTTGGTTCAGGTCCCGTGGACAAGGTTTCAAAAGTGGGATTACTTATATAATAACAGTTGTAATATGGGATTGACAAATGAAAAAGTGTTCTGGTGAGTGTGTGGAATCAATTATGCACACGTCTTTAGATATTAATATAATTTAATTGTACGATCATGCATCTTTAATGCACTCACTACTGGTCACTAGCTATCTATGTAGGGAATTAAGATGGGAATCAACATGTAATACTTTCAAAGAATCAAATATTATATAAAAGAAAACTCAAATTACAAATATTTCCCCACACCCTCTCTAAAATAAGGAAAATTATAGAACAAAAATAGAAACCTACAAATTAAACTGAAAAGTAATTCACATTTTCCTTCTATTTTCCCTTATATTCCTTAATTAGTTTAAAATCTCTGTCCATCGTGGATCCTACGTGTGTCCTATATGTGAATTTATTCTATTTGATCATTTTACTAGTTCATAATTTTTTTCATCTGTAATTTTTTCACAATTTCACCCTTCCTTTCCATTTTGTTTCTCTCTCCTCTAAAATTCCCCGGCCACCATTGATTCTCCTGCGAATGTTTCACATGCTGTCACTGAGTTGCTGAAAGAGCAACATGTTCTCGACATTCCAGAAATTGTTGGATGTGTCCTCGCCCTGAATCCACGGGGTGTTTGGTTCCATGGATTGGAAATCCAGCTCCTGAAGGAACAACCCTGATGGGCTTGTGATGCAATCCAAAAAGCTGAGTTGATCATGAGCTTGTTGGTAATAATCAGGATTAGGGTTATTGTTATTGTTACCAACTGGGACATTGTAATAATCTTGAGTCAAATCCGAGACAGGTGAAACGTGAGTCCCAAACGAGTCTGATGATGCAACTGTCCCCGTGCTACTATTCTCTGGAGTGTAACTTTGTGTAATTTGTGAACCTCCAAAGTTGTTCATAATTGCTGGACTTGGCATCATGTTCCCACTGTGAACCTCAAAATTGTTGTTAAGGTTGTTGTCGTAGTTGTACCTATATGTGGTATTGTTGGTAGTGGTGACGGTGGCGGCGGCACTAGCAGATAAGGCCGGCGAACCAGCAGTAGTAGCAGCGGTGGCAGCTGCGGCGGCAGCTGCGGCGGCTTGAATGCGCTCCACAAGCCTTGGCATCCAAAGGTAGCGCATGGCATCCTTGAATTGCTTGCTATTCACGTCACATTTGAGTTGTTTGGCATGCTTTTGGACACGGGTTCTCCAATAGTTCTTGATCTCATTGTCGGTTCTTCCCGGTAAATATTGAGCAATTTTGGACCATCTGATCCGAAAGTAAAAGTTGATTGAGTTAAATAAAATGGGCATCAAATTTTGAATATTGAAATTAATGATGAATAACTTAATTTTTAAAAAAATAATGGTGTGTTTAAATGCATGCATAATATTTTTGGGTTAATTACCGGTTTCCCCAGCGACCATGAAGCTCGAGAATTAAAAGTTGTTCTTCAAGTGTTATGTTGCCACGTCGAACATCGGGACGCAAATAATTTAACCATCTCAATCTGCAACTCTTCCCAGTTCGTTTGAGTCCTGTAACAAAATGAAATTACTTTAGTTGGTAAAGTTTTGGAGTAGCAAAATACTACTATAACGAGGAAAAAAAAGAAAGAGCATTTTGTTTTTCCTTTATGGGACTTTATTTTTTTTTTCTGTAACAAATATATGATTTTTAATTGTGGTATCAACTCATTATTCTTTTTCCCATTTGCATAAATGGGGATGAGGCCAAGCAATTATCTATAACCTATAATTACATTTTTCATTTCATTATTCGTTTTATGCCCCACCACACACAAGTATATGCCATTAAAGTCCTAGCTAACATAATCCACTACCATATCATGATGCTCTTCATATATATAAGAAAACCGCAAACTTTGGCTTTTCTGCCCAAAGAATTGATTGGTGATGAAACGAGACGAGAAGTGAAGGCCTTTTCACACGACAATTATAGAGATTTTGAAATTAATTAGAAAGGCAGTGTTGAAGAAAATAGTGGAATTAGTTTTTTTGTGTCAAAATTGCAATCATGAAATCACTAGTATATACCCTATATTATATAGTATTATATTGGGATCTTTATCTTTGATGAAAACTAATAAGAGAAAGAAAAAGAAGTTACCAGCAGAACGGGCAAGGGAGTTCCATCGACCTTCTCCATGATTGGCAATGTAATTGATAAGGGCAAGGTCCTCATCAACGGTCCAAGGGCCTCTTCGAAGGTCCATCTCATCCTCGCTTTGGATGATGGTGTTGGAGTTGCTTATAACCCTTCCTTTCACTTCCATGAGCTACACCCACTTTGAATATGTGTTAATTGATTGATTCCAACACAAAACAACAGAGGTAGCTTTTGATCTAAGAAGTGTGGTTTAGTTGAAGATGTAAACAGATTGAGAGAGAGAAAGAGGGTTTTGGCTTATTACGAAGAGGATAAAGAAGGGTGGGGGCTTTTTATAGATATTCAAGGATATATGGGGCTTTGAAAATGAGGGAGAAAATGATAAGAGTTGGAAGGGATGATGAGAGAGAGAGAGAGAGAGAGAGAGAGAGAGAATAGAAAATATGCTGAAGTAGTAAAAAAATTAATGATTTAATTAAGGAACACTTAAGTAAGAATTTAGAGGAAAATAATAATAATTATTATGGCTTGTAAGTAAGAAAAGGCTACGAAGTTTGACGCTTTGACAGTTTGACTTTCCTGGCTTTGTTGTGTGCGCGCGTGCGCTCCGTTACTCCTATCAGTTGTTTGTTGTTACATGCTCATAAGTCACAGCTCATAATAACATAAAAAATTAATTTTTTTTTCCTGCTTTTCTCGTAAAGACGGCTTAAGGCATGTGAATAAAAATATTAGATCGATGCAGGAATAATAGTCTCTTCAAACGATTTGGGTAATTATATTTAATGTCTATTTAGATGTCTCTTTGTAAAATTGATTTTGAATTGTTTAAATTTGTAAAATTAGTTTTAATTAAAAATCGAGTTTGAAATAACTTCTTTTTATGTTTATAATAAAATATAATATAAATTTTTTAACTATATATAAAAGTTATAATTTTTTAAACATTTAATTAAGTATGGATTCATATTTATTTCAATTTTATTACTTGTAACTAGTTACAATTTTTACATTAAATTCATGTTTATGATATTCTTTTAACATGAAATCAAGTACACGCTTAAAGATAAAATAAATTTTTATATAAAATAATCAAATAAACTGAAATAAATATTATATTATATTTATATGTTGAAAGGTGATTTAGAAGTTTTAAATGCTCATTGAAACACGCTATTAGAATTCACATAAAAAATTTTCATACTCACTTTTTCTTTTCCAAAATAATATTTTATTATTAGCATTTTTGTTTAAAATATAAGTTAAATATATTAAAATATAAAAATTAAACTTATTATCCAATCATAAATGTTTATATTAATAAAAATCGTTAACTTCTGATGGTTAATTATTTTTCTGTTGATTAATATGACTAAAATGGTGACATACTTTTATAAAGTTCAATTTTAAAAGAAAATAATATAATCGTCGTCTTGAGTTTAATTTATTGATTTCATAAAATATTGTCCTTGAAAATTGAAGTAGAGTTCAAAATTTTGAAAGATTATTCATGATCAGAAATAAAGTACGCACAATACGTATGTATAAATCTAAAAATTAAATACTAATAAAGCAAAAAATAGCAATAAAAAAGTGAATAAAAATATAAAAGGTAATTATTTTAAAAGATACTTTGTTTTAATTAAATTATTTTCAGGAAATATATTCGAGAGAGCTTTTTATATTCAAGTTCGAGTGAATATTGCGGTTGTTGAGAGATCCTCTCTTTCGTTTTTTTTTTTTTCTTTAAATTTAATTCGTTTTCAGATATTCCCAAATAACTTTTCTCTTAATCTTTTTTTGCCCTAGGATTCTGTATTCCTGTCCTTCTCCTTTATCACAATTAAATAATCCAAAGAAGTTCAATATTGCAATTAATTAACATGTTGCTGCTTTAGTTTAACGAATCTATATCATATATAAAAGACTATATTGTTCTGCTAACTCTGCCATTTAGACTTTAGTTTTGATAGGTGTGGGATTAAAATTTATCATATGGAAAAAGATAAACTTTAAGGTAATATTTTCATTATTATTTTATAATTACAATGCAAATTTTAATTATTATTTCAGTAATTTGTGTAATATGAGTGGCCATTAAAAATTAATTTAGTTATTAAGATATAATTTTAATTAAAAATAACACTAAAAGCTTAATAAAATCTACTTTAGTCTTACCCTTCGAAATTAATCTTTCTTCAAAAGTTAATTTACCCACTAATGAAAAATTATTACTTTACGTTAATGTGCTGGTGTCGTACAATGCCATGAAGTCATTTTTTTTCCATCTATCTCAATCGAAGCTGCCACAAGAAAAATGTGAATGAAGAACTGAAAAAGAAAAAGAAAATAGAGGTAGAAGAAGTGACTACTATGATTTTTAAAAAATTCTAAAAATTTTTAAAAATTATTTGATTAACTAAATCTAAATTTAAGAGTTTAATTACGTGTGTGAGAAAGTATTAGCATCTTTACAATATTAGTTAAAAATAATTATGTAAATATTAATATTTGTTTTATTCTTAAATTTAATATTTTATTTATAATTTTTTAAATAATAAAAAATTTATATTTCAAAATAATTAAATATTCTCGTTTTTATACATTTCTCAATGCACTAAAAAAATTAGGATTAAGTAGTCTATTATTCACACATTTAAAGATAATTATGAAGTATAACTACCAATTATTTCATGTGTTAAGTGGTATCTCATGAAATCGTATGATATTAATATATTAATATCATATTTGCTATTAATACGTTTAAAATTTACATATTAATAATTTAAATTTTAAATATTTAATTTTTATTTGAACACAATAGTTAATATGGTTATCATAATTTTATTATATTTTTATGTTTTAAAATTTTGAATATAAAATTTCAAATATATACACTTTATATTCAAATACTATTCCCTGCCTTAATCTTTTATAGTATTATGATGTTACATTTTACATTAAATAAAGTCAACATACAAATACAACGACATACTATTTAAATATTTAAAAATTTACATTTAAAAAATTAAATACCATATTTTTTATTATAATAATTTTGCTTTTAATTTTTATTTAATATTTTCTTAAGAAATATTTTATGATCAATCTTCAGCAATAATTACATACAATTGTTTGTTTATGTCTTTTTTGTAATTTATAATATGAGATATTTTAAGAATATGTCTTTTTTAAGAAATTTTTGTAATTTGGTTGTCTTTCCTTCTAATTATATTTTCAAGCAATTCCATTTATCTTTAAATTCTCAGTTTTTTGTTATATTCAACCGTTCAATCAAATCATATCAAAATTCTTTAAAGTATATGAAAGATGATAAATGATCTAATGAAAAAATTATTATAAATCTATAAAAATTATTTTTTTATTTTTATTAAATAATTCGTGGTTTCAGGATGAATAATTTAATATTATTTGCAATTTATATTCAAAATATGATTTGATATTTTTCTTCACTTATGCTTTTTTGAATTTTATTTAAAATAAAAAACATCATACTAGAAACTTTAATGTGAAAATATAGTATAACATATTGATTTAAAAATTGTCAAATTATAGTTATTAGTTTTTTTTTACTGATTTTGTGTTACTTTCCATTCAAAATACGTAATATATATCTCTAGAAAAATATAATTTTCTTGTAAGAAGGTTACTATTTTATTGCTATTTTAATTTTATTAATTCAATTTGAAAATATTTTAATTTAGCATAGTTTATACTTTAATTTTTGTTAGTTTAATTTTCTCAGTAACACTCAAGTAATAAGCTAGTGTACTAAAAGTATTGATTAAAAAAATATTAAACATATCATATTATACAATTTTAATTACTTAAATTAGTAAGTCTTAATTTCTTTTGTATTTTTATTTAATAAACGATCTCTTTCATATTAAAGTTAAAAAATTTATTAATACATTTAATTGAGATTTTTAATGTATCTTGATATGATTTTTTTTTAAAAAGTATTTTTTTATTGATTAGCCAACACTCTTAAAGAATAAAGACACCTCTTAATAAGACTTTAATTTATGGGGACTGGCCAATGTTACCGAGCTGCTAAGGCACTAATCTCAGGCATTGCATGCGCAACACAACGCGCTCTATGGTTTTTATTTCTATTTTTGTAATGATAAGTGGATTAAAATCTAACATCTTTATCATATAAAGTTAAAGAGGCCACGGTTTCTTCTACATGTCACATGTGCCTCTAACTAGGACGGCTGGAATAAATTTTCCATTCAATCCTTTGAATTTTTATGATATAAAGCTTTGAGGGACCATCTGCTAAATCTCGTTTTAATTAAAGTGATTGTCTTAATTGTTTTTTTCCCAAGTCGAGAATTACGTTTAGGTTATATGTTCCTACATAAATCACTTCAGTGAAGTTCAAATATTTTTTTCAAGAGAGGTTGCAGTTTTAATTTCTATTGAATCCTCGAATTTTAATTATTTTAGGTACATAATCAACGTTGAATTATGTACTTAACTACTGAAAGTTCCAGTATAAAAACTGCAGTATGTTTAATTTTATTGATAAACTCCATGGATCGATTGGAACCTGACATCGTGGTAGCTTTCTGGAATAAAGAAAGACACCTTGATTTCATTCCTTTCCCAAATTGGATTGTTAAGTATTTTAATTTTCTTTATTTAGCAAAAATGCTACTGATTTTTATTAACTATATGTCCCATCTACTACATTGGTACGTAGCAGTCATTTGGATTGGACCACCTACATACAAATCATAAAGTAATTCCACTTTACAATATATAGTGCTGCAATTCTAATTGCAATGGATGTGCGTGTGGATGTGATTACCGCTGCTTATATAGTTTTATTTTTCATCACATAGTTTGGTCCCAAATGTAATTAAAAGGCTAATTATATTATTTTGTTTTAGAAACACGCAGCAGGTTATCATAATTTCCCTTTTCTTTAACAGTAAAACAATCTGAAATCTCTGCACAATTTGAGGGTAAACTCAAAATTAAAAAGAAAAAGAAAAAGAGAGGAACTTACATAAACCCATATGATCCATATGGAAATCATGAATAGTACCGACCAGTATGCTATCTATAGAGGCTGCTGGGTGGTGGCCGCCACCATTTATAACTAAGTTTAAATCAAATTAAAGGGAATTATATATTAATTTTTATTTTAAGCTATCTTAATATAACCCAATAGAATTGGGTGGGAAAGAAATCAGGACTTCCATTGAATATCGACATCTATTGCATATTGGGGAACGGTGACATATCTCTTAAAATATTATCACAAGTTTAGATTATGCTTTATATATATATTGAGTTTCGATATGGACCACCTCATGATTATCTGTTCACAATGGAATTTTTAATATGGTTGGGGGGAAAGAAGGATTTATATATAATCACCGTGATTCGACCATTATTTTTCTCAAATTAGAT